CAACTTGTCCAAAGTACCAGAGTTCCATGATGGCAGGAGGCAGGTCTTCTGAAACCAGGGCCAGAGTCTCCGCAAACCACTGAGATGCACTTTATATGGGAGGAAGGTCTTCATCTGACTAAAACTGTGTTCCACAGGGTTGTCTGAATTAATTGATGGTTAATTCACTACAGTCATATTCCACATCTCAACTCTAAATATATTTCACAAGTAGAAGCATAAAGTGATATGGTTTTAAAATTTTCCAATCTAAATGCATGTATTCATTCAACAAATAATTAATGTATGCTTGTATATGCCAAGCACTGTCCTAGGTGCTAGGGATACCTTGGTACACCTAATAGACAAAAGTGCCTGCCCTCATGGAACATACTTCCTAGTAAATGTACATGTGTAGTACACATGAAAAACTAAACATGAAGGAACCTTGGGCTGGTAAAGTGGGCTTAATTTTTTGTGCAACTGGAAGCCAACTAGAAGACACACTGAGCATTGTTAAATTGTAATTACAGGCAAATCCCAATTTATTGTAAGACAATGGTATTATATTCCACCAGTTTGGTAGCAGGTCACAAAACTTCCTATAGAAACATCTTTTAAATCGAGCTATCAGATTCTTAGGCTAACCCACAAAAACCTATGCAAACTATGATATAACTGAACTATAAATCACAGTATTACCAGGTGAGAGTCTCTGCCCTGGGTGCCATAATCTACAGGCAGTTATACAGCAAGAAATCAGGGAGATTTGAGTAGCAAGAGCTCAAGGTAACACATTCAGATCCCAGGGTTTGAATCCCAGCCTTGCTGCTTAACCAGCTGTTACTTAACAGCTCTTAAACCTCAGTTTCCTCATCTATAAAATAGGGATATTATTAAACCTGCCTCATGGGGTTGATGTGAGGGTTAAACGAGATATTGCTTTGTGAAGCCCGAGCTCCATAAATAGGTATCATAGTTGTTATTTGCCGCCCTCCTACTTCCAGGGGCCCCTCCCCAGGCACCCAGTGAACTCCCTCTCCTGCCACAACATCTGCCAGGATGCTGCTCTAAATGGTGGAATTTCAAGCAGCACAACATAGTACAGAGAGTGAAAGAAATGCAGGCCTTGCGGGCAGGCTATTTTGGGCGCCACAGTCAGTTGGTCAGCATGTAGGCAGGCCAGCCTTGCCTGGGATTCTGCCCCCGGGTCAGCTGCCCCTGTCCCTTCCCCAGTTTCTGAGCTGACATATTTCCTATGGAATTTTTCCCACCAGACTCCCTCTTTCATGGGGTTAGGGAGACCCTCTTCCCTCATGGGAAGAAAGGAGCCAGAGATGTAAGTGATTAAGGGGGTTGTGAGTTGGAGGCTACCTGTATTGAGATGTAGTGTTTACGTTTTAAATGATCCCAGCTGGACATTTAATTTAAAATGTTCCATAAGCCCAGTAAAAAACTTTTAGTAAACTTTCAGCCCACCATTATACAGCTGAGGAAGTTTTTAGTGCAACAGGCTGGTTAAATGTTAAGCTTTCAAATCTAATCCTATGAGGCATAGAATTCCGAATAAATAAGCACCATCTGTGTATTGCTGCTTCTTGCTTAGGGACTGTATGAATGAACAATACCACGGTAAAGTAACCACCTAAGCCAGAAAGCAGCTCTGCCACTTGGGCAGGGTCTCAGAACCAAGAAATTGCACGTCAGACTCTTTTAGGAGGCCACGATGCCTTACTTGACATCTGAGAACAATATCTTACTCTGGCCCCAGACTGGAGACCTATTTCAAACTATTACTGTTTAGAGAAATCTATTTAAGGCCTAATTTGAATTGGCCAGTCTTAGAACTTCACACTGATCCAACAGCCTGAGCAGTATGCTCAAAAGATTCTACTTTAGCTGATGTTAAAATAAAAGCTGTCTGATATTTTCCCCTCCTAATGTTCCTTTCATCTTTTTTTATTTAGCACTCACATTCCATAGCACTTTTATTTGATTAGAATACTTATTCTTTAATTAATCACTTGAGCTCAATCAAGAAGCAAGTATTCAATATTTTTTATGTACTAGGTGCTGTGCAGCATCAAAAAGGCAAAATTGTGAACTTAAATAGCTTGTAATCTGGTAAACTATAGACAGGTGGATGGGTGGATAGGGGTGCAGATTGTCGGTCAGATGGATAAGATATGTCTATCGGGAGAGTTTACAGTAGCTGCAGTCACAGCAAGAATTCCTAGCGATGAGGTCATTGGGATTTGGAGATCATAGCAGGAAAGAATTCAGGGAAGAGGGAGGATTTGAGGTGACACTTGAGAGATGGATATTGGGGAGGGAAGAGAAAAGGAAAGGGGACATTCCAGACTAGGAAGCAGCATGGGAAAGTTTGTAACTATGATATGGGGAAGGGGTAGGTGATGGATACAGGAGGAGAACAGACCAGTCTCTAAGTCCTGGGAAGAGGTGCTGAGAAGTGGTGGGAATTTAAGATATCTAGGTAAGTGATATCCAGATGAGATATTATAAAATACAGGAAAAGAGGGTGTTTGCTCTGTTTTCTATGTCAGTGGGGCTCCTCTGGAGCAGGCAGGTGACAGCAAGTAGTGTCTTGCTTCAAAGCTGTCTTGCAGCAAGTTACCTCAGTACCCAGGCTGCTCATGAGGGGAGTCTATAGCATAGGCATAGTTTTTATTTTAAAGTATTGTGCTCTCATTTTTAAAAAGCTTCTGGGCATAGGCACAATTGAATCAACCCATTAACCCTTAAGTAAGCAAATAGCTGCAAATAAAAACTTAGTATTAAAGTTAGTGGGAAAAAAAGAAATGTTTTAAATGTGCCTCTTGTACAGAATTAATATCCACTAGTGCCCACTTTTGCACTTGGTCATATATATATTACCTATGTTATAATCAATTGTAAAAAGAAAAAGTTTATGTACCTTTAAAAAACTAAAATCAGTGTTGTAGCACCTCTTAACTATCCACATGGTTAGCTTTGAATAAGGTTTATATATTATTGCAAAATCAAGTGAAGTTTGAGCTCTACTAGACAGAGGAAATGCTATTATCCCCGTTTTACAAGTGAAGAAATGAGACCTAGAGAGTTGGTCAGTCACAAATCTAGAAATTGGTGAAGTGGTAATTCAAACCTCAGATTGTAGTCCCAAAGCCNCATTTTTAAAAAGCTTCTGGGCATAGGCACAATTGAATCAACCCATTAACCCTTAAGTAAGTAAATAGCTGCAAATAAAAACTTAGTATTAAAGTTAGTGGGAAAAAAGAAATGTTTTAAATGTGCCTCTTGTATAGAATTAATATCCACTAGTGCCCACTTTTGCACTTGGTCATATATATATATTACCTATGTTATAATCAATTGTAAAAAAAAAAAGTTTATGTACCTTTAAAAAACTAAAATCAGTGTTGTAGCACCTCTTAACTATCCACATGGTTAGCTTTGAATAAGGTTTATATATTATTGCAAAATCAAGTTAAGTTTGAGCTCTACTAGACAGAGGAAATGCTATTATCCCCGTTTTACAAGTGAAGAAATGAGACCTAGAGAGTTGGTCAAAGTCACAAATCTAGAAATTGGTGAAGTGGTAATTCAAACCTCAGATTGTAGTCCCAAAGCCAGTATTTTTTGGCTTAACACAGACTGTGCTCCCATATTAGTAGATTAAGAAAACACAAACATTTGGGTTGCTGAAAGTACATTCACTAATCCTGAAACATAGATTTTCCAGGAAAATCAAATGAGCAAGCTAAGAGAAAGGAGAAGCAGGAACAATTAAATTTCCTTTAGGCCCTTTTTTTGATTTCTATTTATGCCACAGAGGGCCTAGACCAGTATTATTCATGGCTATTTCAAAGCCCAGATCAAGATGTTTAAAGGAGAGAAACATGAATTTCTCTAAGTATTCCTATAATATTGATGCTTTTTGCAATGGAGAAGACTCCCTAACTCTTTGCGACAAAGCAAGTTCTCCTCAAGTGCCTGATAGGCAGATAGCTTTGGGGAGGCCATGTGGGAGATACTTGTTTTCAGATCACCCCCATTCTGCCCAGAAAGAGAGGCATTCACATGGAAACCAAGTGTGACCCACAAGTGCCAGAGCAGTTGCCCCAGTGGGAGTGGGAGTTGGTTTGCATAGGCAGAGTTTGGGTCACCACTGGGAAACT